TGCGAACCGTTGGGCCAACTATTCCACGTCGTCAACGCCATGGTGCGCCAAAAACTCTGGTGGTACATCATTCTCACTGTCCGTCGTCTTGCTGGATTCCAGGCCTTGTCGCGGAACCCGTTGGAGACCCACTCCTCCTCCTCCTCTAGGTTCATCTCGATCGTCGTTATCGACATTAGAGACGAGCAAGTCTGGAGGGACTTCATTGTCATCACTCTCGTCACGATCCGTGCGCTGCTCTTCATGCGGGTTATCCTCGAGATCCACCAGATCCAAGTGATTACGGCCATAAGTATGAGCGTTATCGTCACTTCCATGGCCACCCTCATCGACACTATGATCGGTGGCGGTGGTTGGTCGCTGGCTGGTGGACCAAGCTCCAGTAGAGTCTTGCAGAACCGTCGCCGTCGACCTTCCCAATCGCGGAGTACTGCCATTGCTCCCTTGGTATTCCTTCTCATCTTCAATCTCATACCCCTGCTCCATCAGCATGTCTTGGATCATCTCTTTGGCCTGCTTGAACGCCTCCAACTCGGCACCTATAGCACATAACAGCAACCTCCAACCGTGCTCTTCTGCAAGGTTGAATTTTTCGTCTAGCGCACCCATGACTTTCATGATTTTGTCGAGCTGTGATGTATAGAACACGAGTGGGCTTGCTGCTTGATCATCGGCAATGGCCTTTCCTTTGCCCTTGCCCTTGCCGCCGTCACTGTTGAAGCCACCAGGCTCAACACGGCTGGCCTTTGCAATCTCTTTGCGCAAATCTTCCTCATAGGCTGTTACCAACCTGACAACCTCCCTCCAGACCTCAGCACCCTCCTCCAATGCTGAGCGTTCCTTGTTTACTTCCTCTTTGCGCCGCTCGAGAAGGGCAATCTCACTCTCCCACCAATCCTTCGCCATATCAGCCGTCCGTCGCTCCGGTCGTAGACGCATGAACTCCAACCCTACCAGGGCCTGCTGCTCCACTTCTAGATTACCCTCGTTCTGACCAGGCCCTATCACAGCCTCAATATCCAAAGGCAGCACCCTGGGTTTGATCAACATATCCTCCAATTTGTCATCCGCCTCCTTCAGGGCCCCTTTGTAACCACTAAGGCCAGCCTCGCGACGATTTCTAACGTCCAGCCTCCGTCCATCAAGCCAGCGTTTCCGCTTCCGCAAACCCACCAACCGCTCCTCTAACTCGGCTATTTCCGCGCGAACATTGGTGTACTCTTCATCAAGCTCGCGCAGCTCACGGGCAAGCGGTTCCTCGTCATCGCCCTCCAACGTGCGTAATTCCCCCACAATTGCATCCCGCTGCGTTGAAAGCTTGCGCAGCTCTGACAGTGCCTTCTTCCGTAAAAAGAGCGCAGAGTCGAGGTTTGCTTCCTCCTCAATTTTGAGGTCGGCAGCGAGTGCCATGGTCCTGGCTAAGGCGGCTCTGGCCCCGCGCAAATTCAGGGGTTTCTGGCGCGGTTGACGAACGGGAATGATCTCTCCGGTTTCCGTTGTACGGGTGGGTAACTCAAAAACAACATGTGACCGACGAGTAGTTGATGTGCTTCCGGCAACGCTGATGTTCGAGCTTGATGATGGAGGTGGGGCAGCATCTGGGTTGAGGTTCGCCATCAGCCCTGTAGCTTGGGCGTCGAGTATGTTTTGAAATTCCTTCTGAATTAACCGTTCGCGGTGCTGTAGGTTGCGCCAGAACGTGTCCTGTTCGAAGCGGACTTCATCCCGATTACGCGCTGTAGAACCTCCCTTTTCGAACAAGACGCTATTGATATTCTGGGCGATGGAGGACACTCCGAATTCGAGCGGCGACGTTGGCGTAGAGTAACGATCCTTACCCTCTCGCTGCAAAATTTGTGTCGAGAATATGGGCGGTGGCGGCCCGGCGAACAAAACACGAGATTTCTTGTCCTTAGATATCGACCCAGTCGTGCTTGCTTTGTCGCTGAAGGTTGAAGATGATGGGGGCGGGGAAGTTCGCCGTCGGAACGCTGGCTGATTGCGATTTTGCGGTATATCATGGTTTAAAAAGGGGTCGTCAGGGCGAGGAGAAAGGTCTTCCAAGTTGTAATCGCTGGACTTCCGAACGGAGCGGCTTGCTTGGTTAGACCACATGTTGTATTCGTCTCGAGGTCGAGATGGTCGCGGAAGGGAGATGTTGTTGAAGGGCATTAGATTAGTCGTGTTCATTCGCGAGAAGGCCGCTGCAGACACATATATATATATCATCAGCAACCGATACATGGTAAAGGCATTGCGCACACAGAGAAGGTGGACGGATATGTCTGTACCGATAAGGCATTATGATCCAGACTGTCACTCTTACACGAGGACCAGTGGGGCATAAATCGAGAGGGAAGCAAGCGAAGTGTACCAGGGAGTTAATGAACAAGCGAGAATGGACAACTTGGACATACACAGAACAGATATAGCAACAAACAGCAAACGAGGCCGGTACGACTCGAAGACAGCGGAGCGCAATGTGGTCGAACCAGTACGGACACCAAAGTATGAACTTGTAAGATGAAAGAAAGACGAGCGAAAGTCTGGAGAATAAGACCGATGGCGGGGACGGGATGATCGGATGCTTCTTTGATCTGATGATGCTTATGATAAGAGTAACGGAAGAGAGGCTCAGATGACAGTCAAGTGCCTGCCGTTATCAGGCACCACGAGGGAAGTTGGTCACTACAGTTCGGGAGGAGGAGCAGGTGGCATGTGCCCCACCTAAAGTACCCACGTATTGGCTCCACCAACCTAAGCTGACAGTGACGCCATTGGCCCCAAGGGAGCTTAACAGCGGATCCACCTCTCTGAGCTTCCCCCCGGCCGCGCGGATCCCAACTGAAGCTTCCGAACTCTTGAAGCTCCGTCTGGTGACTCTGTCCCAGTCCATTCGAACACATTCTTCATATCTCACGAGCGACTGACTGATACGTAGAGAATTCGGTGTCATAACGTGGCTAGATAATCCGTTGTTTCTTTTTGTTTGTGTCAAAGCACCGCCTGGGTTTCCTTCACCATCCATTCATCTCTGTCCGCTAGCAGTCCAGTCCGCTGGTCTGAAAACACCATGATCAAAACCTCATTCAAGGGTTTCTCAACAAGACTATGGCTTCAGTTCAGAGACAGTTTCTTTGGCTGAGAGCAACTCTCGCCGTGATATATCTACAACTCTATTCAAAGGCATTGAATGACAACGAGATGCTTCAAAGCCCATCGATTTTGGCCGCGCCGTGATATGTTACATATCACAAGTGCATTGTTTACGGGGCTCAAACATCCTTATCTTGAATTCTTAGGTTGACAGTATATAACCTCATCGCCTGTACAGAACTATATAATGGCTTACTTTCCGCTCATCCAACATGCTTTGAGTAGACAATACATTGTTACTACAAAAGCATACATCCACCCTTCAGCACTTTAACCGCCGAAAGCCAACAACTCGATTTCACCAACTATGCCCCCTCGCAAACAGAACGCTCGCAACACTGGCAAAGCCGGACCCAAAATGGCCACCAAGACCACCAAAAACAATAGTAACCACCAATTATTTCCAATCCAAAGCTTCAAAACTTTTTACAACGTTCCAGCGCCAGCGCCAGTCCCACCCCACCCCTTCGCTCACAACGACCTCCTCAAAAGCCTCCTCCCCCACCACGGTTACGACTACTCCATGTTCCATCTCGTCCACCCAGATGGCATCAACCACGAGAATTACCTCGCCATTGAGCCTGAGCACGCCGACTGGATCATCAACGCTCTGTTCAAAAGCAGCGGCGGCATGAAACCCTACGGCTACGGCTACAACCAACATGTTGGTAACCGTGCCGAGCCTCCTCCAAGTAGCCACCTGAACCTCGTCGTCGAAAGCGGTCTAACGACCCTCTTCAACGCGCTCCACGATGTTGCCAGTGAGCTGGACCTCGCCGAGATGCAGCTCGTCGGAAACGACACTGACAAGGCGGGTGCCGGATATCTTTCCCCCTTTTGGGAGAAGGTAGTCACCAACCCCAAGTACTCCGGGGCCTGGTTCCATGTCGACGTCCCTCAGGGGCATGGACATGGACAGGGCAAGCCTATCAACGTCGGTACTACCAAATGGAAGGTGCCCAAGAGTTGGACCGGCTATCTTCGTACCAACCCTCCCATGACCCGAGCTCGAGGCCGTGAAGCCACGGTCCCCTATCTCTGCTCCATGTCTCGTCCCAATCCCGAAGAAGTGCACTACTTCCCCTCCGGGGCTTCCCCGAGTCCCGGATACAAGCCCCTCACGAACTTAAACACCACTCCCGGCACCTCATCCTCATCCACCAGTGAAGCTCTCCATAAAGCTTGCTTAGCCCTGCACTCTCTCACGGCCCTCATACTCGACGCGCGGGAATACGTCATCGAGCGTCCCGGACGCTTCCCCTCTCGTAACCTTCCTTCCAGTGATCCACTCGTCCTGGCTATCGACCAGTTCCGAAACTACCTTGAATCTGTCCCCGGTCTACAATTCGAGGAGTCCATCCAGCAGGCCTTCTATTCCTACCACGCCACCGTCTTCCGGTTGGAGCTTCCCGTTGCGACCGGGCTATTTGGCGGTAATGGGACCACCATGTTCCAGTTTAAGCCGGCCCATGTGTCGAGGGACACGGGGAAGGTCGTGGATGAAATGGTCATGGTGGCCAGTGTGAGCTCGGCAGGATCGTCGGATGTGGACGGGGACGAGGACGAGGAGGATGGAGACTTGTCATCGGATACGGAATCCGATTACGCTTGTAGTAGTTATGCTGGGTTTGGTTCAGCCAAGAAGTTGAGATGACCATGAAGGCGTCGCCATATGAGTGGGAGGAGTGGTTCATGCTGACCGACAAGTGTCGTTGATGTTAGTTTAGGTTACCCGTGGAGATAGGGTGGTAGAGTATGATAATTCGAATGGTTTGGGTAACGACCCTTGTGACCCTGTGATATGTGAACGTACACAACCACAAACGCAAGACTGAGACAAGGGATGAGGACACGAAACTGATCGTGCATAGGAAGTCTATTGAATGGACCTAAGAATGTGTCCACCTGAAAAGCAATTTCTCCGCAAAACCTAACACCAATAGCCTTTACCGAGGCCTTGTAACCATCATAATCATGACACGAAAATAACCAGTGATTAAGCCAACTCATCTAATTTTCAGACTCTTGCCCCTTTTCCTGTGCCATTTAAGGCTGGCCAAGACCGAGGTGGTTGACATCGGCCTTAACGATACGGAAGGTGTTGGTGTTACCCATACCACCCTTCCAGCCCTGAACAACGACAACGGTTTCGCCCTCGTTGAGGACCTTGAGACCAATACCGTGGCTGAGACCCCACTTGATGCGACGATCAACATCCTCCTGCCAGTTGACCTTGCTAAAGTCGGGCTTGGACTCGGGGAAAAGGAAGGGGTAGACGCCACGGTAAAGGTGGGCGTACCTCGAAGCAGAATCGTTCCTGGTGATCATGATGATGGGGCACACAGGGCGGTACTTGGAGATGAGACGAGCGGACTCGCCGGAGGTGGAGAGAACGAGGATGGCAGCGGCGTTAAGGTCAAGCGAGGCACGGACAGAGGCCATGGCGCAGGACTCGACAATGGAGACGGGACGCTTGGCCAAGCTGCAAAGCTCCTCGAAGTGGCTGACGTAGGGGATGGTGTTCTCGGCCTTAAGAACGGCCTCGCTCATCTCACGGACGGCCTCGGTGGGGTAAGCACCCTTGGCGGTCTCACCAGAAAGCATGACGCAGTCAGCACCATCGGTAACAGCGTTACCGACATCGCTGATCTCGGCTCTGGTGGGTCTGGGGTTCTTGATCATGGACTCCAGCATCTGGGTAGCGCAGATGACGGGCTTGCCGGCAATGTTGCACATGGCGATGATCTTCTTCTGGGCAGCGAACACCTCGGCGGCGGGGATCTCAATACCCAAGTCACCACGGGCAACCATGACACCATCGGTCTCGGCGAGAATCTCAGCAAAGTTGTTGAGACCCTGCCTGTTCTCGATCTTGGCAATGATCTGAATCTGCTTGCCATCCTCGCCAAGGACCTCACGGATGTCCTTGATGTCCTGGCCGCGACGGATAAACGCTATTATCAACTGTCAGCATCTTGTTCCACGTATTCAGGGTCTTCCTAGGGTGAACTCACAAGCAAAGACCATGTCGACCTTGTTCTTGACACCGAACCTGAGATCGGCCTTATCCTTCTCGGAAAGAGCAGGGAGATCGACATCGGTGTTGGGAAGGTTGACACCCTTGCGGGAGGAGATGTAGCCGTTGTTGCGGGCCTTGACCTTGATGGTCTTGTCATCGACAATCTCGAGGACCTCGAAAGCGAGGACACCATCGTCGACGTAGATGATACGGCCAGGAGCAATGACCTTGGTGATGTTGACATAGTCGACGTACCTGCAACGATGTCAGCAAGGATCGGCCCCACTGGCGCATACCCAGAAGCAGATCGATTCGAACTTACATGTGCTCGATAGTGCACTCATCCTTGTACTTTTCATCAGTGGTGATGTTAAGGATGGTACCGGCGGAGATGGGAATATCCTCATCGTTCTTGGTGTTGCCGGTACGGATCTCAGGGCCCTTGGTGTCAAGGGCAATGGCAATAGGGCGGCCGGGATGAACCTTCTCAGCCTGGCGAGCATTGTCAATGACGGACTCTGCAGGTGGCTCAGTGTTAGCGGGTAAGCTGTGCAGGAGGATTTTGGCAAAACGAGACGCTAATGGTGCTGGAAAGCTAAGCGCGCAGCAGCTTGGCGAACCTTGCACCATCGGCGGGTTTTCAAAGGCACCACCAAATGTAAGAGGGGAGAATACGTACGGTGATACTCGTAGCTACCGTGGGAGAAGTTCATGCGAACAACGTTGAGACCAGCATCGCGGAGCTTGTTAATGGCCTCGACCGAGTTGGTCTTGGGACCAATGGTGCAGATGATGGAAGTGCGACGGAACTCGCGAGCGGGCTGGAACTCAGTGTTGAGCTGAGCGAGCCACTGAATCTTGCCTCCGAGGCTGAGATGGTCAAGCGCAGTAGCGGCCATTGTAAAGGTTTGTGTGGTGTTGGAAGGGAATGGGAGATGTTATCGAGGTGTAAATTGAAGCGCGCGGGGTTGACGCGAAGCTTTGAGGTATGGGGAAATCTGCAAGATGGACAGCTTTAGCGTCAGTGAATAAAGTTTCAATCTGGGCAAGCGCAATGCGTAGGAATGACAATTGCAAGACACAGAGCGCAGTGCTAGTATAGATGCGGGGGTGTATGGTAAAGGTGTTGGAGGGAAGGAATTTTTTGAATCTTTTTATGATTTGATTCCAAGTTAGGGAGAGGGGGGATGGGGGGAGGCTTCTGTCCCAGCTCAAATTACCCCGCGCCTCTCGCATGCTGGAAGTCCAAACTCCTCTGAGACGAGGAGACAAATGATGATGACACAACATGGAACCCCGTACGAAGCAAGGAGATGCGAATCAGAGTGACCCGCCTCCCCATGGGCTTTTTGTGGCACTTCCACTTTCAATTCAATTGGAATGAATGGAGGCAGTTGGGGGATCGCTGTCATTTCTGTCAAACGTACCTGAAAATGGAACCGAAGCTGATGATTCGGTTGTTCAGATCTCAAGACGAAATCTGAAGCTGAAGCTTGGGGTGAATGAAGGAGGGGGGAATTGTTGAGGGAAAAGTTTGGGGAGAGGGAGAGGAAGAGAGAGGATAGAAATCAGAACAGAAAATCAACACCGAGACCGCGGAGGGGAAATGGACCTGGATCTTTTTTTTTTCTGCTTTCTCGTTTCGCCCAGGCTCGAACCAATCTTTGACGGGCTATTGCGCGATAAAAACTGATAAGAGAAACGCCTGGCACCAGTCGCACCACTAGCACACCACGCCTGCACCACTGGTCTCCTTCCTTCCCCTCGTTTGGTCACTTTGGTATCCGTCTGGCTCTCGGCGACTCCTGTCCTTTCCAACCTCAAGGCAGAAGCGGCAGTGCGGCCCTCGAAACGTCCATCGACAGAAGGTTGGGGATCCCCTCTTCGCATCCGCTCTTGACGCCCCCGTGTCGGCGTCTTCGCGGAGGCAGCATTGCTCTGGGAGCTGCAACCTTGTCATCCCGCCATAGTTCCGCCGCCGCAGTGGAGGACATCCCACCAGAGCCCACCGAGAACACTCTCCAAGCCGCCACTGGCCGCCCGGTGCCGCGTAGCTTATGCCTGCCCCTGCCCCTCACCCCCCACCTGAGGTCGCTGACCAAGCCCCGCTTTCCCCCAAAAGGGAATGGTCAAGCCAACCCTAAATTCGGCCGGACTGGCAGGGGCACCGGCCATTGCCCGATCATCGCTCCATTGGGCTCCACTGCTGTGGAGCCATCTTGCAGACAGCCAAGAGAAGTCACGTTAGATGACACGTGATCGTGCCAAGATGATCCCTCGAGAACCCAACTCCCTGGACCCTGTCTCCTGACAATCCCTTCTTCTCCTTCCAGCCTTCCAGTTCCGCTCCACACAACCTATCCTTGACCGCAGTGCCCCGGCTCCTACCCGCGACACTAGAGGTACCTCAAAGGCCGCTTTCCCGCCTCCCTGTGATCGCGCCGTTACGTTGCCCACCGCATCGCCCGACGCCTTGCTGCAGGCACTCAAGTTCACTCCCCACAGCACCTCCCGAAACACCTTCCTGACCTGCAACACCGCTCCCGCCCCGGGAATATCATCATCATCACCACCACCACCACCACCACCATCGACATCGACCCCCTAACCCGACGGCGCCGAATTCCGAACCGATTGTCGCATCGCATATCGCATATCGCATATCGCATCGCATCGCATCCCGTCTCCTCCCTTCTCGATCCTCTTTTTTTCCTGTCGCATCCAACAAAGCCACTCCTCAAGATGGTGGTGGGTACCCCGAAGTTTCTTGCGTCGTTAGCGTTGCTGTTCTTCATTCTGCGTCCGAATGTACAGAGAACCCCGGCCCCTTCTCCGGATTTTCCGATCTTGTCATTGTTCTCCATTGTCTTGCCTTGGCACTCGCCCGCTGCTGCTGCGTCGTCGCTTGCTGTTCAACGGAGTTCTAAGAATCTCTTCTCCCAGCTCCTCGATTTGCTGACACTAGGCTTATGGTCGAAGCTCGGACGTTTGAGCCACTATGCCTTTGACGCTGTCCTGCGTAAGTCCCAGTTCCAGAAGGATGATCGATCGATGGTCATTGCTATTCTTGGCCTGTTTTCGATGCCCGCTGACTCGATGTGTGCTGCGTTTGACAGTTTCGGCATTCCTCGCTGGAATGAAGCGATCGACCGGTCTGACGTGAGTTGCTTCCGATGCGCTCCCTGCCCTGTGGACACCGCCCTTGCGAGGCCTCGCCCCCTGTTTCGAACCCGAACCCGCCGATCCGTCCATACCTCCGGGTGACATGCTCGAGCAAAAGACTGACGCTTGGTGATCATAGTTTCAAAACCGACAAGGTCGCTGGCGAAAACAAGGAGGTTGGAAAATGGGTTGACAAGTATCTCGGCGTCGGCGAATGGGTGATGGACCAGTCTGTCGCCATTGCTGGTTCGAGCGGCTGGTTCGACAGGACCCGATAAATGGTGGATGGCAGAGAACGTTGCGAGCCTTGGTACATCGAGGGCGATACCATCCTTCACAGCTGAAGAGTGAGGATCGAAATCATTATTCTTGTCCAAGGAGGCGTGCTGATTGGAAATCGGTTATTTCCCGGCTGGAGGAGGGGATCGTGGCGCCATGACACGAGCATTGGCGGTTTCTACCCCACGTATATATATCTCTTGGACAGAATGGCCAGTCGTTATGTTTGTCGAAGAGAGGAAGCAGAGAAGGTGTTTCTGAGTTTGGCTAGTTTTGGCCGGCTCAAGTGCTGATCGGCCTCCTCATATCCGGCAGTGGATGCCAGTAGCCAGGCTGGGTCGGGAGGGGGATGGATCTTTAGAGGACTGGGCGTTCAGGAGCGGTTCTGATGACCGCGGGATACACACCTGTTTCTTTTGCATTTTTGTGCTTTTCGATAGGGTTTTGAATCAGGAATAACTGCACTTTGATACCCTGGGACTTTCCAAGGGTTCTCGCAGCAGTTTTCGTGGCCCAAAGTTGCGCATGTCCGTTGTCTCCGCAAGTTGTTGGCTGTAGGGCTCAAAGTTCGGTTCGTGATCCCGTGGTTTCCCGACCCTTGTTCCGGAATCATAGCCGAGGGCTGTTGGCCAAGCCAGCCAGCCAGTCACGTCCGTGCGAATGGAGCTCTCCAGCGATTCCAGGTTCAAGGCATCTGCACCACGAGTCATTTCCCTTGTTGGTGAATCACATGGAACTGAGAGATCCATTTCAGTGTTGAAAGTTTTTTCATCATGCACATATAAATCTGTGATATAAACATCAACATTGAACCAGTCGTCTGAATATGTAGTCCAAAGACCCACGTTTACGATCACGACGCATCAACCCTATGCTCAACTACCGACTCCGTCTAGAGGTTCTTAATCTCATATCTCGTTCGCAGCAACTCACCATATCGGATCAGCAAAAACGGCACCGGGATCAATGCCACGGCGATGAACGCCAGCAGACTGTTTCCCCATCCTAGCCCAAGCGTGTCGTACATTCGCAAGCCGAAGATGGGGAGGACAGCTCCAAAGACACTTCTCGCTACTGTGTTAGCAGCCAGAGCAGACGCAGCGTAGATGGTGAACGTGTCAATCAAGGCCTATCACGATATCAATCAGTCCCGTCCTTGGATTCTCCTCAACCAAAACAGGCAAGAAGCTCACCATGCTGATGGCCATGAATATCACGATATTGCCGAACCCGATCAGAACGTGGCTCAAAATCGGTACGATCCAGTGGACATGGTACTGGGCCGTCCAGCCATAGATGAAGAAGCCAGCGGGTAGGAGTATGGCACCGATGGGGAGCACCGTGAGCCGATCCTCGGGGGTGCATGTTCCGTTGCCGTCGGGGCCGGCTTTGGCCTTCATGATGCGGTTGCTGGCGACACTAAAGAAAACGAGGCCGAGGAGTGAGCCAACGCCCATGCCAAGGAAGACCAGGCCGACGATCCTGGTGCCTGTTTTATTCACGCGTTATTAGCAATCGCCACAAATGACGCGGGAGGCATGCCTGCCTGTTACATACCGAAATTATAAGTCTCCGGGTTGGTAAACACCCTCGAAATCGTGGTAAACATGAGGTACATGTACCCATAGACGATGGCGATATAGATGGCAAAGATGATGCAGATCGGGCTAAACACCAGCATCTTCAGCGGCCTCACAATGCTGCGCTTGAAGTAATCCTTCGGGCTCAATCCGACATCCAGCTTACTCCTCAACATGTCATTACCCGTCTCCTTGCGCAGCCTGTCGACCCTCCTTTGCAGCAGCACCGGCGCGTACGACTCCTTGCCAAAAACGAGCATGCATAGCGCCACCACGCCCGCCACGATCGTCAGGATCCAAAACACCCAGCGCCAGCCTAGGTCCGAGTCGCTGATGACACCCTCAATAATCGGCGCGATGATGGGCCCCAGCAACACCCCCATGGTCATCAGCGCCATCGCTGTCGCCCGCTTCTCCTGCGTGATCATGTCCGAGATGGTGCCCCCGCCATTAGTCACCGGGCAACTACCGAAGATGCCCGACAAAAACCGGAACGCGATGAGCGCATTGAGACTCGGTGCCTCAGCGCACGCAATCAACAAAGCAATGAAACACACGTTGCAGCCATGATAAACAACCAGCCTTCCATAAATCTCACTCAACGGGGCAATCACCAAGGGCCCAGCCGCGAAGCCCAGGATGTACACCGATACCACGAACGAGGCCAGTTCCGGGGAGGAGTTGTGAAACTCCTTCATTACCGAGGGGACACCGGGGGCAAAGATGGAGGAGGCCAAGGGCGCAATAAAGGTTTGCGCACTGATGAGCCCGACGTTGAGGATCTTTTTCCAGCGGGGCCAGTTGTAGGGGTTTTCGGGGTCGTTTTCGGACCACCAGATTATGTTGGCTTCGTCCTCTTCCGAGGAGGAAGTAACGGCGCCCGATGAGTCTTCCTGCGGATCATCGGGGTAGGAGGAAGCTTTGCCGGCTGCTGCCTCCTTTTCTATGTCGTGATCATCATGGTGATGATGGCTGGTATGGCTGGCATGACCTCGTGCCCGGGCGAAAGAGTTGCGGCGTATGGCCTCTTTGCGCCGCTTCTCGCCTTGCTCGTCAAGTACGTAACCGATGTCGGATGGAATGTCGGCGTCATGACCCTCGTCGATGGCTTGCTCTATCGATTTCTGTCTTTGTAGGACAAGCCGTTCTGCTTCTTCTGGTGTAGAGGAACGGTTGGTATTGTGCTCGTGCTCATTGGTGATTGGGGCCGCCTGCCCCGGTTGTTGAGATCTGGTCATCTTTGGTGTTCAGTAAGCGCCGTGCGGGCCGTTCCTTGAGACGGTTATCAGCCATTTTCACTGCCGAAGATGGGAGAGATAATATGTGTGCTCTATCTTTTCGCTGGGGAAAGAAGTAAGATCATGGTTTTTGAATGCCTAGACATCCCCGTCGACTTGAACCATGTTTATGATCATGCCAGCCAGGGAAGGATGGTAGATCATGGGTGGAGGCCAAACCTTGTTTCCCGCGGGCCTCTCCCACGTTTTGTCCACGAAAATCAGTGGATCCTGACATGCCATGATCTTCCAGGGGACATGGACTGGATATAAAACAACTCCACACATACCTTGATGGTCAAGGTTGATAACCTGACGTCGGATACCACACTACTTGTTGTAAGATGCCGTAAAGGCTGCCAGCGATGGCAGTGTTGCCCTACACTCGTAAAGTGTAGAGCAATGAAGAAAAAGAGGGAAGATACAGCAAGAACAAAAAAATGGCCAGGCACAACAAGCAAAGAGCAAAGGGGACACACAGTCGGCAACTCGGCAAGGAGGATAAGAAGCTAATATGAGGAGAGAGAAGGAAGCTAGATGCATATGTAGGTAAGGTAGGTATGTAAGGGTAAACATATCCATAACTGCCGCTAACTCGTAACGTGCCTACATGAGGAGTGCGAATGGAACCCTGTAGGAACTTTGATTCCATGGGGCCGAAAGAGTCCATTCCGTCCGTCACTCACTCATTCGGTTGCATAGCACGAACGCAGCGCTTGCTCTCGGTCTCTGGGGTAGCACGCGGATAGGAGTGAGCAGTCCAGACGTCCATAGCGTCACTCTTTTCTCTAGCGCGAGGTCGCTCAGGTTGCATTTCCGGAAAGGAGACGCATCAAAAGAGAGCGGCAGGGAAATAGATCGGGCGTTGTGAGGCTGGATGGTAGTTGTGCTCATGGCGTGCATAAAAGCGTGCACAAAGCCGTTTTTCTATGACTGTCCCGGAAGAGCATCGGCAAGACGTCGATCCGGGAATATCATCTCAAATGATCCAACCAATCCCACCCGACCCTTCGGGACGGTGCCGACCCCGAGACCAAACCCCAACACAACAACCGTTGTCGGTTGATGTCTCGATGAAGCAGGAAGCATTGGTCAGCAGGCTAGGAAATGTCAACCTATACCGACTGAGTGGCTGACGGGCAGGGTTGGAGGGCGTTGACAACCTTAGTCGGATGCACGAGGCCGGCCATTGCACCCGTCGGCCCAACATACATAAGCTTTCTTCGCTCCTCCTTTCTCTCCGTAAACATTGGATTATATTGCTGATTGGACCGTTGCCAAGATGTGTTTTACCGGTATCCTATCACCTTCCGTCTTTGGCGGGAGCAGGAAGAGAAACGAGAGGCTCGAAGGGTGGTATGAATGTAACGGGAAGCTTACAGTGAACACAGTGACCATGAGGAAGGGAGACGCGTCCCACACACCCACATTCACAGTTCACACAGTTTGTGGATGGAGGTAACTTCTTATCTCCGGGTAGAGGAAAAAGCATTCTGGACCAAACTTGGCGTACAGCTAAAGCATACTAATCATAGATGTTGAAGGGTGGTATCGCCGTGCTCATATCAATGAGAATTTGCGATGCTCACTTACCTAGAAGTAGCAAATCTGGTCATCTCGGCCCCCTTGATATTTCTTTGGTCTTGATGAAGTGCACGGAAATACAGTCAAGGGCTTCCAGTTCCGGGAAGCGGTTGGTGTGTATGCACCCCTCGATTACCAGACGTCAACGACATAACGCCGTACTCCGTAGTACTCCGTTGGCTTGCCAGCCTTGCCAATGCCTTCCGGATAGAGCTGACTGTATTACAGGCACTTGAGATTTATTGACAGGGTGTTTCCCAAAAGGAAGTGTCGGGGTGGTACAGCATGGAAATGTTGCTTGTATGCTTGAAACGATGTTTGCTATTTGGAAGGAAAGCATCCCAATTGAGAGGTCCAAGGTATATGTACAGCTCGAACGACACATGCTACCTACCTAGAGAAACTTTTCGATCGATGTATGGGGTTGATAGAGAGTAAGTACCTTGTGTGTGTTTGCGTGGGGGCTTGAAGAAAGTGCAACAAAGCCAGTCAACGACATGTTGTCGCAGAACGGCAGCGAACACTGCAACAACAAGGGTTTATTCGGCTGTAATAATCTCACATACTTAGCGACATCCATCAGCTCCTCATGGGATTTCCTTTACAACGCTTGATAATGTCGAGACGAAGCTACTCCGAGTAGCCTCTGTTTTATGTGCAGACGAGACGGCGCTTTTCCATTTTCGACTTCAGGAACCCCATGAACCCTAACCCCGAGCGAGAGCTTATTGCATCATGATGATCATGTCCGACTGTCAAAAGGGTCTTTATCTTGGGACAAGTCGCGTTCACAAGATGATTGGGCAATCCCAGTAAGCTCCATTGTGATGTACCATGCGACGGTTTGAAGGGATGGCCATGTACGTACCGAGCGGATATGGCCTTTGGAAAACAGCCCCGTCAAACATTCGGACAAACTCATACTTATTCAGCCATTTACTGACCAGGCAGATCGGTCAACTTATCTTTCCTTGTTCTTTGGGATTTAGATCACTCAGCCACCAACTATAATGTCGTTCACTCAGTTCATCCGTCTCCCTCCAGAACTCCAAGACCTAGTCTGGGACCAGGCAGCAGCCCTCTCCCCATGCCTTCACTTCCTCCAGAAGCTCCCGGAGACCAGCTGGGTAGATTGGGACATGCATCTCGTTCCGGACCGACACCAATCCGCAGACCTCAACTTGCGAAATCTCTCGCTCGCCTGCCATGACGCCCGTTCGGCCGTGATCCGACACACCCGGGCCATTGAGCATAAGACACTTGTGCCCATGCCCAAACACGGTAGGCCGCCTGTGTCGATGACCCCTTTAACCCTCGACCTAACCAGCGATCTCGTCTGCTTCGGAGGAGCGGACACCGGACCAAAAGAAACCATGGCAGCGGTGGATTGGGCCGATTTCGAACACATTGTGTTTACGGGCGCCCGTCGGTTCGCGGTAAGATACTTTCGCCCTGGATGGAACGTGTGGGGAATTTCGACGGACGACGACCCCAGCGGCGACGAAGGAGTGGGGTTGAGCCCAGAGGAGCTGCAGGCCATGTGGAGGCATGAGTGTGTGCACTGGACACATGTCGGGGTCGCGGGGGGCCCGGGGCCCGACGGGCCTGACGGCGACGGGGAAGGGAGGAGGGATCTTGAGATTCACTATCCCGAAGCCGACCCGCCCTTTTGTGCGCGGTGTGTGGCTAACGTGGTGAGAAGGTTTGAGAGGTTGGAAGAGTTTTGGCTTATTGTTGACCCGGACTGCTTGGACATGTTGGATGCGGCGATGGGTAGAGACGGTGGTAAAGAGGACAGAAATAAAGAAGCGATGGCTGAGGAGGGGAAAGGGACAGAGACGATGGATAAAACAGAGATGTCCGCCACTGGGCCAAAAAAGAAACGGACTTTCCACTCGTACAGCCGGACGTATTTCAGCCTGGATGACCATGATGTGCGAAGTGAGCCGAGAGGCCCTATGAGGGCTTTACAGGCTATCAGAGACAACTTGGTTCGTCTCCTATCCCCTCTCTTCCATCTGCGCTCAAGATGATGTGAAGAACAAGCAGCTAACATTCTCCAAGGAAGTAGCATCGATGCTGTCCGGTTCAAGGCCGGATTGGATGAATCATGTTCGGTATGGACTGTTGTCGTGGCGAGATGACCGGCAGACCAAGTGATGAGGATCATTTTCAGGGTGCCGGTCGTGGCATTATGCTGATGTATCCGGACGATACCGTGGTCCCGTCATCCTCGTCCTCATCGCCGTCGAATCCGTTCCCCGGGGTCGTATGCCCCCAATCAGATTTACAAAGCGTATCGTGACATGTGTCGTGACTGTCGGTCAGACTGGAATCGTGGAGGCTGCCTGGGGAGATGGAAGAGTCCAGGCGAGAGTTGCCCGGGGAGGAGTCCGGGAGAAAACAGTGCCGACGTCTCGGGAGCGTCTCACAACCCCGGTCCTGCAGATGGTGAGGTGCCCTGGTTTGATGTCATCACTAGTGAGGCGCTAACAGTGACCTACAGTACAGGGCTTTCAGGGGTCTGTAAACCTATCACAGCGCCCATCTCGATCCCTGACGGACATGCCCTGATGCCGAAGCGAGAAACATCCGAACCAAAATCCAACCTTGGGTCATCACTCCTCCTCCATCTCCTCACATCCATCGAGGGCCGCCATCCCTGCGGCCTCATGGCTTCCAAGACGATCGCCAAAGTTTAAGCTTATTCTCAATGCCTGCACGTTGACAGACTGAGACCATCTCTGTCCGTGCGCCAAAAGAACGAAACACCAGGATCAGGCTCCAGACCTTCATCGACCACCACCGCCGCCGAAGGTTGCTCTGCTGAACATCACTCCCATCATCGGGAACATTGGATGCCCGACTCTATCCCCGGGCGGCAGCTCTTACAACCGCTCACTATCAAGCCTCGGTAAAGTTCAAGGCTAGTTTTCCCCAGAAAGACTTCTCCTTGAAACTCCCTGAATGCTACCTTTCAACTTGCTAAGGAAGTGAGTACCATAATGAGCAGTGAGCAATGTTCCCAACCGTCTGCGGTTCTCGCGTTCTTCCTTGCCATGAACATGGGAGCGTCATGGCTTGCGTCCCAAGATCCCCCACAAGATCCATCCAGCTTCTAGCCCAGACCGCCGGCAAGATCTGCCAGGGTTCAGGTGAATCTCAATACGGGCCCAGAGTTCACCAGGCTGATGAGATGGTGGTCTTGTTTACCGCCCATGGTATATGTGAGCAGGGGATTCCCCTAGCCTAACCACAAACGATTGATACAGGGACAGCAGTGCCTCGTCAGAGATGAGACGATCTCAACAACACCTCTTTTCCTCAGTACCTGGTCTATTGTCGTTCTGTAGTGTAGAGGTATGCTATCCATCAGGGGCAACCCATTAGATGGACTTTGATACTGGGTCCAGATCGCTCGGATGCCGTAATTGTTTCTATATAACTGGACTGTCCTCCCGTGAACATCACCGCTTTCTCTTTCCTTCTCATCATCAGCTTCACTCTCTTCTTTCGGGTCTCCGGTGTCTACAGTTCTGGCAACTATTTCGTTCTTCTCACTCTTTCAACCTTACTACTACTACTCTATTACTTGACTTCTTTCCAAACCGCTCGGCCGGTCTTCGCTTCTTCCATATTTCAGCATTCTTGTATCCTCTAAACTACCAGTGTTATCACCCGTCAAACCAGAAAAGCTTGATCATCATGTACTCCAAACTTGCTCTTGCCGCCCTTCTTTTGGCCACGGCCGAAGCTCGCTTCGGTCAGGAGCAGTCTGTTGCCAACATTATCTCCTCTCTGAGCAATTTTGGCAACCCTGGTGTTGCTCCCACCCTCGCCGGCTCCACTCCCGGTGTCCTGCTCGCCGGTGCCAACGCCTGTGACAAGGTTAGTACATCCACAAGCTTAGCTATACCCTTCCTTACTGACAGATATCTCTAGCTTACCCTTGCCGACCGCATTGTTTCGGAACTCGGCAATGACAAGGCCGTCATTGACGCAGCCAAGAAGCTTGTCGCCGCTGAAAAGAACTTCAACCCCTTTGCTGTCTCCATTCCTTCCATCTGCTCCGATCCAGCTCTGCCGGCCACCCAAGAGCTGAGAGGCATCGTTCCCCTTGTTGACCCGGCTGTGACCGGCGCTGATGTTGAGAATGCCAACTCGGCCACGTCTCTCACCACTCCGTTCGCCAACGATGGATTGAGTGTTGCGGATATCGTGAAAGCCAATGGCTTCTCCAACTTCACTGCCCAAAGCTCCAGCGGATCTACCACCGCGCCTGCTGCTGGTAACAATAACAACAATAACAACAACAACGGCAACAACGGCAACAACGGCAATACTGGTGCTGTTACCTCCACGGTCACTTCCGCTGCTCCTGCCGCCACCTCCGAAGCTGCCGATGCCGGTAACGGTAACGATAACAACGGCGACAATAACGACAACAACGGCAACAATAACGATGACAACAGCAACAACGGCAATGACAACGCCAACACCGGCAACGACAACAACAGCAACGGCGTTCAAAAGTCCACCCTCGCCGGCGCCGACTTTGGTCTTTGCGTGCCCACCATGAGTTTCGTCGGCGGCCGCGGCAACCGGAAGGCCACCGAGTTCACCTTCCTGCCTAAGGACCCGCTCGTCGCCAAGGGCCAGCAGGAGGCGCTCAACCCCAACATCATCACCAACCGCATCTGTGACCAGCTGACCAACGTCTGCCAGGCCAACCAGGCGGCCAAGACGGCGTGCTTGGATGCCAAGGCCCAGATCCAGGCTCTTGGAACAAAGGACGCGTCTACTGCGCAGAAGTGGAACGAGCTTTTGGGTTTTGCTGGCACTGATGTTTCTCAGTAAGCGAGCGGGATGGTGTATATGGCCATAGGGGGGTTTGGAGATGATATCATGTGGGGGATTGTGAAGATGGTGGGATGGTTTGGTGACAACATAGTAGTATATGTATATGGATCCACCTGAATGCGTGTAAATATTTTGGAGCTGAACTATGGATGTTGTTTACCTTTCCGTCGTACACTTGTGATCTTTCGTCCAGCCCTGTAGAATATCCGCTCAGTGGGACTACGATTCTAGAACTTGAGACTAGTCAGTTCTTCCACCTATCGGAATGCTACCGAGCAGTTTCATCCTTTAGGTATGACGGCCACAGTGACAGAGGTAGACCGACAGAATAGTACACTACCAGATTTATGACGCCTTGATGGTGTCGAGACTGCGCATGTAGCATATCGATGTCTGTATCAGACGGAAGCATATACCGGCAGCAGTGTCTTGTACAACCTCGGCGGTGCACCGTCGGGTCGTATACTGGGAGTTTTCATATGAGGTCAGCACCATATTCTGGGTACCCATCAAGGGAAGGGAAGAGAAAGCGAGCTGTCTCAAATTTTTGAAAGAGCGCATGAGCTCCATGTCCTTCGTCAGTGCCTGGTTGAACTTCTACACGTGGGTGGGGCACCTTGAGGGGGACTAAATGGAATGAGGTCGGTCCTTCACTAATAATGCCAAGCAAATTCCGACTGGTAAGTCGGGGTCGGCAACCCCCCCGAAAATAGTTCTGGAGCTTGGATATGGAGGTTATGCCATCCCGTGTGTGGATTACGTGCTATTCGGAGACTTATCTTGCTTCTACACGTGCACAAATGGAATCCCGGGTTCGATCGAACAAGATCGGGGATTCGGAGTCCACACTACGCATAATGAATTGGTAATCGACGATCCCCAGTCTCCACGGTGCCTCGTAGTATATAGAGGTAATTGCTACTCCCGTACTCTATACACCGACTCCTACGAAGCTCTTTCCTTTACCAATACTTACCGGACCAAGCTTGAACAGATCAACTGACAACCAATCCATCTGAATATACATCAGCCAAGATGAAGGAAGCTATCGTAGCCGACGGCAAGTTTGACCCAAGAAGATCGCAAAAAGCATCACCAAACTAACACTTACTCATCCTCAGGACCCCAAGTCCAGATCATCGACTCCCCCATCCCCTCACCCAACGATGACCAAGTCCTCATCCGCGTCGTTGTCAGCGGCTGCAACCCCAAAGATTGGAAGCTCCCAGGCATGATGCCTGACACCCCACCCCTCAACCAAGGCGACGACATTGCCGGCATCGTGGAAAAAGTCGGCTCGCGCGTATGGGAGTTCAAACCCGGTGACCGTGTCGCCGCATTCCACGAGATGTTGACCCCCCACGGCAGCTGGGCCGAGTACGCCGTGGCATGGCAACACACCACCTTCCACATCCCCAAGGAAACAAGCTTTGAGGAGGCCGCCGCTCTGCCGCTTGCAGCCATGACCGCCGCCCTCGGTCTCTTTTCCCGCTTGGGCTTGCCGGAGCCGTGGGTCAAGGCCGTTTCGGATGAGGAGCGCCAAAACACCCCGCTGGTCATCTACGGCGCTTCGTCGGCTGTCGGGTACTACGCCTTGCAGTTGGCCAAGAGGAGTAACATCCACCCTTTGATCTGCATCGCCGGGCGCGCAGGTGGCGAGCGCATTGCTCCGCTTTTGGACCAGAACAAGGGCGATGTGCTGATTGATTACCGCGAGGGCGAGCAGGCGGTTGTTGAGGGCATCAAGAAGGCTTTGAACGGCAGGCCGTTGCTGCACGCTCTGGACGCGGTGTCAGAGAAGGGAACGCCGGAGCACCTGGCGCAGGTGCTTTCGCAGCCGGTGAAAAAGGGGGATAAAGAGTTGAGGGCCAAGGCAACTTTCGTCTTGTTTGGTAAGATGGGTGTGCCTGATTTTGTGGATCAGAGCACTACTCTGGTTGGTAGCGTGCACCAGGATGAGAAGGACTTTGGCTATGTTTGGTATCGCTATATGGCGAGGGGATTGCAGGAGGGCTGGTTTAAGGCACAGAGGACGGAGGTGCTCCCGGGAGGATTGGCGAGCGTGCAAGAGGGATTGGAGAGGTTGAAGGATGGAAAGGCGAGTGCGGTGAAGTATGTTTATCGGATTCAGGAGACGGAAGGGGTTGAGAGAAGCGAGGAGTGACAAAGCAGAAGCTATAGAATTCTGTGTCAAGTCAGTTGTGGATGTTGTTGTATTGAATAGCCAGTCTCCTGCAATGTGTATATGACAACTTATACAACCTTTTCTAATATATATATATATAAAACTGACAGCTTGCGAGCCCAGTTGAACAGAATTGTATAGATGGCTCGAGGACAAATGAAGGCGAGTACAAACCAGTTGCCAGAGTACATGGCCAACGCCTGCGAAAGCAATGCCTGTACAAGCCACCTCTGCAGTCTTGACTGGTGCCAAGAAGGAAGCTCTTCGACAAAAGAGAATTGCATGATCATCCCCCCCCCCCCCTCTCCAAAAAAAAAAAAAAAAAAAAAAAAAAAAAAAAAAAAAAAAAGCTCCCCCACGTTCCTTTTCAAGCATGGCCTCTTCTCCCATCACGTAGATAATATATCTCCCACTCTTTTGAGTGATATTTTTTACTTCGCCCCTAGGTCTATAACCGCCAGGCGGCCCACACGTCAACCCAAAATCCAGGGCGGCCAATCTGGTCGGCCTTCAATTGTTGGTCTTCAACGTCCAGAATCCCAGAAAGATAAAACCAACAAACGAAGCGAGAGGCCCCGATGAAGCAACACCACACCTAATCTGCGGCCAATCCCGTATTGCCCGCGGTCGCTTACATGCAGAAAGGTGCAGAAGCCGCCCCCGAGAACGCTGTTTGTTTGGCCGCCCAAAGCCCAACCCCGCCTTGGACAAGGATCGACATCGGTCCATGTGGTGGTGGATGTTACCGATACCTATTGCGTATATATTATTCTACTTATCTTGCTCGTCCTCGGAGGTTTTGATCTGTGCCGTTTCATCTTCACTTGCTCAATCCTCATATCTCGAAAGCAGAGACCAACTCGATCTGGTCGAGTGGATAACCTCGGACAACAACCTTCACTTAGCATAACCACCCCAGAAAATAGTTCAACATGACTTCAAGCCGACCACTACCCCCCTACACACCCATTCCCCACGATGGGAGCATCGATGGAAATGCCAACCCCAATTCCCACAACGACAACGACGACGATGCCCAATCAGACATCAGCGTCCCCTACTCCTCCCTCACCGAAAGTACCACCACCACCGGCGGCAACGGCTTTCTCACTCCCACTTCCTCAGATGCCCATACCGTTGCCGCTGAAGGGGTAAACCTACAGACCATCAGCTCGGTCCTACATGAGATGGAGTCTTCTGATCATCATGACGGACGTATTGATGATTCTCTGGCCCAATGGAGATCTTTGTACCACGATGAGATTGAACGGCAAATTATCGAAAACCGAAATCGAGACCGGGAGAGAAGGAACACGATTACCAACACTTTGAGCGCGAGAAACCTACAGTTGCACACCAGCCAGACGAGTGAGACATTGGCTGGCTCAGGAGGAGGAGAAGGAGGAGCTAGCCTTCATGACAATGCACAGACGAAAAGAAGAGAAAAAGAAGAGAGATCAAAGTCGAGCCCAAGCGACTCCTCATCTACCTCCTCTGGCTCATCGTCGTATATGAAGTTCGTCTTCAACCTCAATTTCACCATCCACCATTCATTCTTCGTCGTCGTCCTCCTTCTTGCCTTCTTAGTCGCTTACTTACGCCTTCCTTTCCAATCTCTCAGTGCGCTGACGACGGACAGCGCCAGTGCCTCCAACATCTCCCACGATGACCAGGACCAGCTCCCGCCATTAACCGTCCTCACCCCCGCCCCCATAGAAGCGGCGAGTCGCACCCGATCTTCAACCCCCACGCCGACATACGAAAGTGCTCCCACCTCTCCTTCCTCCACCAGATCTCAAAAATCAAAACCCAGGCGACCGCCCTCCCCCTCTTCCCGCTACACACGCCACGCTGACCCCCAGCCCAACCAAAGTTTTATCCTCCTCGAAGCCTCCACCGGCCGAGCGCTGACGCTGATAGACGGGAACTTGCGTTTGGTTCACGTCCCTGACCCAGATCTGATCAGCCTCACTAACCAAAAAGGCGCTGACCCTTACCTCTTTCCCAATAGCCGGGCCAAACAGCCTTGCATCGCCAAGGGCCAATGTAATTGGCACTGGCACTGCGTCGAGAACGCGGGGTGGCTCGGCTTCCGCAACGCGGCGTCGGGAACCTTTTTGGGGCACGACATGTGGCAGAATATCATTGCGCGGGTGTACAAGCATCAGGGTTGGGAGTTCATGGCTGTGAGGCCGGCGCTGGAACGAAAAGGATGGTACTTGATGGTGACGCATTGGGAAAAGTTGCACAAGATCAACTTTTTGGAGGGACCAGGGGTGTTTGTGGCGAGAAACCCAATGGAGGGGACGGTCTGGGAGTTTGTTAGGGTTTGATTTACGAGGGGGTTCGGATCACTTGCGCCTGTGGTATTGGAGACTTCTTAAGGGTAGGGCAAGTTATCCGCATGGCTGGTGCAAAGTTAGATGTATGAGTGGCGAGCGGTGGAAAGTGTCTTTGGAAGTGTGTGTTCAACAGCAGCTTCTCTACGTGAGTGAAAGGCCTCTGAGTTCGGACTGACTTCCTGTGAAAGATATGGTTAGCTTATCGGCGGTGTTCAAGTTCATTCCCTCCGTACTTACAGAGAAAAATAAGCATGCAACTTTGAGTTCTTGATAGCCACCCTCATCCACTCCAAGACTAGCTGGATCTCAACATCGTGCCACCCCTAACCATTTTGCAAATACAAGTTGCAGATCCTTCCAGCCCAGTTTCGACAACATGAAGTCAACAAAGCGCCGCGGAGTACAGGATTGATGAAATCAATATCATCAAGAACCTTCTGTGGGGATGTCCTCGTCTTTCAGGCACTCTTCTGAGTCTCTTCACTGCGTTTCGCTTGTGGCACCCTATGCAGCATTGCCAATCTCGTTGCAAGTCTTGATCCCATCGACATCGTCACAAATTTCCATCTTCTGTACCCGAGCACTCACCTCCTGTGGTCCCCGATACTCAGCGTGGCCAACAATATCCTCGGCCGGGATGTCGTAGACAGCCTGCTGCCGGATGACGACGCCTCTGCTGTTGCCGTCGCCGTCCCTGGCAACCGTGATGTTTGAGTCAATATCGAGAGTGGCGCTCCCTTCAGGGTTTTGGGTCCATTGGAAGGCTGTTGAGGCTCGGGCAACTTCGCTTCTGCTTGCATCATTTGCTCTGCGGATTTTGCTTGCCCCTTGATATTGACTGTAGGAAGTCCGAGTGGCCTTATCTTCCGACTTGGTGTCGGTTGAGTCCAACGGCGGCAGGTCACACTGAATCCAGTCCGTGGTAAGAAGGTTGTTGGCTTCAGGTGTAGAGATGGAGGCGTGACAATAGGCGGCGGGGGCAAAGGGGCCTGCGGTCAGATTGAAGTTGTAACTGGAGTTGGAACTAGATCAGCCAAAGGTAGCTTCACGGAATTGGGAAGAACAACGCTTACTCGACGAAAGGCCGGTTCGTAGAAGTAGAGGCAGACAGTCCGACAATGCTAACATTCCGCTGAAAGTCGGCGCTCCGGGGGTCAAGCAAATGCGCAACATCGACGGCCAGGGCATTGTGGTTACTGTCGGTGGAGGGGAAGTCAACGTGTTGAGGGGGGACGACATGGGCGAGAGTGACCACGCAGAACACTGCGCCAATGTAAAGCTGCATGATGATGTGTATATTGGTGGACTTGGGGGAGTGTTTTTGATCTTTCTGGTGTGAGTATTCGAAGGATGGGATGGGATGTGATCAGATGATGAGATGGACTCGGACACCAAGAAAAATCTGCAAACTCCCCATGTTTTTCATGGATTGAAAAGGCAAGTGGAAGTCAAGCACGATCAAGACATGGAAGGAAATACAGGCCATACAGGCAGTAGCTGCAAACTTCCTTGGTTGAAGTGTGACCTGCCACATGTCACCTGTCTCTCGTCACTCCTTCCGCCGGGAGTTCTGGTCCTCCACTTCCACTTCCAGGCTGGTGTCTGATGTTGTTCGAGCTTACCTCTTCTATCCCATGTCTTACACCGTGACTACATATACCTCTACTTGTCCACCAGGTACCCGCGCCTGCCGCCACACATCGTAGACCGCGACCACTTGCTTGCAGGTGGGATCTGTTAGTATCTGCAGCGACAGAAGAAGGTAAAATAACAAATCAATAAAAAAAGGTTGAGGTGTTTAGATGGTCGACTGCGGTGATCGAGTAAGCGGTTGTTGGTCTTTTTTTTCATCTTTTTTGTGCCATATTCGGAGGTAAAATGGGATTATGGGTAGGATTGAAGGAGGTGATCGATTCGAACGGTGGTTGTGTCTCGTTTTTTCTTCTTCTTTTTCTTCCTCAGGATTGGTATTATTCTGACATTTTTTATTTTTTTTTTCGATACATCCAGTGCTAGGTAGTTTACTCGATCACGTTCCTTGTCCACAAGTGCGGCCTACTTTTAACATTCCATGGCGACAGTGACCAAGTATCTATCCAGATTCTGGAACCTGCTCATGACAATGGAAGTTACGATGCCAAGTTGAGCAGTTACTCAGGGCAAGGACGGCTATTCCTACACTGCAAATAAAAACACATGAGATATTTCGAAACAAGAGAAAGGACAAGGCTCGATATGTTATTCAGGATGTTCGAACCAATGCATTACTATTACACATTATCACCTCTAGTAGGTAGGTAACTAAAAGCATCGTCCAAACTTACAAGTCAAAAATCCTTTTTTTTTTTTTATCCTTTCATGATCAACTCGAACAGCGGCTACAGCGCGCTTTTTGTCTTTGTCAACCCACCTCGCTTGCTCCCTCAAGTCTCAGCCCAAACTAGAGCCTATACCCAAGTCATACCACCTGCTTAATACGCCCTTATCCTCGCATCATCCTCACTCTTCCTCCCCTCATCCATCCTCATCCTCTGCAACCTTGATGCCAACTTTGCGAACCGCTCATCCTTCCCTCCCAACGCTTGCAAAGCCTCCCTAATCTTCTCCACCGTCTCCTCCCTGAGGGGTCCACTCGGCCCAAACCGATCCCAAATCTCAATCGTGCCCTCGCCCACATTCCTCAACTTGCCAAGGTCATTTCCGATATACACCACCACATAACTATTCCTCCAATCCGGCCTGGCCTCCCCCGAGTTGTCCACGATCCAGCCCGAGCCGTCATCATTCATCCACTCCTCCAGCTGTCCCTCCTTTCCCCACGCAATGATCTCCCACCGCTGGCGCATAATGGGCCCGTTCACCTGCGTGAACCCCTGGTCCAGCTCGTCGAGGAAGAGGTCGGTTTGCCCGACGTCTTGGATCGCCGACGAGTGCAGGTTCTGGTACGAGCGGACGGCGAGGATCCGGTCCTTGTCGGGCTCCATATCCGAGTCGGAACCCTCAGAATCCGAAGAGACGGAGTTGGTGCCCCGGATCAGGCTGAGGCAGATGCGCGCATTGCGCTTGCCTGATTGCTCTTCGGGGTTGGTCGAGTACGTGGTGTGCCATGTGCCGGTGATCCAGGGCAGGTTGGAGGAGGTAAAGTGGGAAGGTGTGGCGCCGTCGCGAAGGTGGTAGGGGGGGTTGACGGTGATGTTGACTTCGGTTGAGAGGGCCATTTTTTTGTTTCTTTCTTTTTCGACTTGAAAGTCTTATGATATTGAAAAAGTAGATAATTGAGTAGTGATGATGGCTTGAGAGACTAGAAGCTGGGGGCTTGAAGTCAAAGTATGTTGAAAAGTTCCCTGTTGTTTATGGATTTGCTGTCCAGACCCAACGGTTCTTATACACGTAGTCGATCCGGGATATACCGGTAATTATCGGGGTCTAGAATATCGTCAATTTTTTTTTTCTTTCCCTCTCATGCTATTCCAGGCCTTGCTCATTATCAGGGGGTGTTGACTAGTGACCAGCACAGGGTCTCGTTCGGAATTCGAAGCACTTTGGTTGTCCAGCCGAAAGCTTCTTCCGCTAAAAAACTAACACACGCCCCTGCCCGCACACCGCCATAGTGTGCTTCTATCCAATGGTAACTTGGGTGTAGCTGGGGTGCGTGCGAGACCCATTCTACCGATGATTTCCTCAAGATCTCATATGGTTTATATTTGGCTGTATTTTCCCATATGAGATGATGTGCACTTGGGTTGAAGAGTTGGACCACATGAGCAGGTTCTGGTTCTTTTGATCTTCACCTCCCCCCGTCCTCACCTATCCACCCAAAAAGGTTACCAATTAAACTGACTCGTGGAGCACCGGTGGCGAAGTGGTCAATAGTAAGTACAACCCTACTAGCTTGGTAGGTAGCCATCTTCGACCCTCGTATGCATCGCTTTTTGGGTTGTTCGCCAAAACGCAGGTACGGTATCGTGCAATTTCCACAACTGGGCCCTGGCTGGTCTAGTTATCTCGCTTTCCTGGGAAAGGGGGTTTCCTCAACTCCGGCACTCCGTGAGGAGATGCCCGAATCCATATCTTTGTCGACAGGCAAAACATGGGTAATCGCTGAGGCGGAGAAAAAGACTCGAGCTGCATCAAGGAGGCTATTCTGATGCATACAAGATGGGTGGTGTTGGGGTCTTTTGTTGACATGTCTCAAGTCTTGGCAAACATATGCTTGTTCGGGGACCACTTAAGAAAAAGGGGGGACATCCCGTTTGAGAATGAGCGGCCAATGGGCGGGGAAAACCTGCACATGCATTCAAACTGTCAATTCCCCTCGAAGTCCTTGAAACGTTTGAAGAAACCTCTGAAACCAAACAATGGATCAGAAAGATGGGTAAGAAAACAAACAGCCGAACAGCATACAGAACAGTCTGCACCCAAGCTAGCGTTTTCCGTAAAAAGAGAAGCTAACGGTGAGGGCGCTGCAGAAGATCGCGCTTCAGGACAGCGTCATTGAGCTTCGAATATATCCTTTTCCCAGGACAGATTGGAAGGAAATGACGTCGACAAGATGATGGAGGAATGGGTGCTGCATCTCGCCCTTCCATCCGTATCGTTGGCTGCTGATTTAGGCATCAGGACCTCAATCCTCGAATGGCGGGAGGGTGTTGCAAGTTTGAGACCGCAAGTGCGAAACTGAGGTTGCAAGGAGAGGAGATGGACTGCACTACTTCTGCCTCAGCTTCAGGAGAAGCCCCCTCCTAGAGTCTAATGAAACCACTGGAAAGTTGGATCAATCGGCGAGCGTTGTATCCTCCTACCCATGCCCAGAGATCCATCTCACCATCCACCTTCCCATTGCGCCCCGAAATGGATACCCTGCAGATCTTGGCGCGGCCGTGTCCGCATCTTCCGCATGTGAACACCAAAAGAGGTAACGGAACGATGCTGCCCTCCGCCCGCCCGCCGACAACTTCCACATCGCTGAGTCATTACGCCCTTCTGGAGAGCTTATAAATTATTGTCTGTGCCCTGTGTATTAGCCAGCTTGAACTTTATATTGGGATGAAGACTAAAGACCAAACCTGTACCATGGGCCGCATCGCATGTTCTGGCTAGGAACACCGTGATCCTTAAAGACGACGTTTCGAATGTGCTCAGGAACCCATCTAACATGCCGTGATAATGAACGTCAGTAACAACCTGGAAAAATATTCAGTTGAGGTGTATGAGATCGGCTGTTCTTCACCCCTTCTACTCATAAACCCGCTATTAGCATCAACAGCAGTACTGAAGAAACACCAAACCAACTTCCATCTAGCTTATCCCACCGCCGCCGAAAATTAAAATGCCCCCTTTCGTTTGCCTCGCTATGGGCGCAACTTCCGTACTTTGGTCGTACCACCATCCTAGAGATCATTTTTCGCGGTGACAAGGTCACCGCCACCGGTTGCAATGTCGAGCAGCCCCTTGGCGAACTCAAGTCTGGCACCGTCGCCCTGCCTAGACAAGATATAATCTCCAGCGCCGAATTCCTGAAGCGCCAGGTTTAAGAAGCCTGGGGCGCCTTTGGCCCCATTGACGTCCTTGTCAACAATGTTGGAATGTCAACCATGAAAAGTGTGACAGAAGCCGAGTACCTATCACTCCGCTTACACTCTGAGCGCCCTGCAAGTCGGTTGATTTGGACCTGTGACTCGGAAGCAGCGAGTCTTTCACAGCCCCTATCCTCCAAACGGACCTCTTCGCCCCTCTCACATTGACTTTGTTCTCGTGCAACCACCCTTGCGAGCAACACGAACAGCCACCCCGCCACAATCGCATACACCTCGTCGTCCATTGAGTGCGGTGGGTTTTCCACCGATGTTGGCCACCCACGGCCCCAGACGGATGCTTATTTCAGCGCAGAAGGGACTAGTCTGCCAGATGCGCATGGCCGGCTGTTATTGAAAGAGGGGCGGTGTGTGTGATTATAAACGATCCCATGAAATCAATACCGGGAAATATGAACAGAGTTGGAACAGCGACTGCCGATATTGTAAAGACAGAGGAAGTGGTGGGTGATAGTGCGTACGAAAGCGTGGAAAAGTGTGGAGTGGTGATAGAGGTAGTTAAAGTTTACGTCTTTGGTGGATGGGGAAGAGTACAGTAGGTAGGTACGGTACAAGTAAGGAAATTACTGCGTAGTGTGATTTTGTTTTCAGTTCGTCGCAGTGTATCAGAACTGGATGTACGAGATCCACCGTGGACGTTGCCAAGTCGTTGCTGGCCTGTCCATGGTCGATCATGTCGATCAACAGCTGGGCGCCGTTGAAGCCGTTGATAGCTGTTGATGGGATGAATTTGAATATCTCACAGTGATCTGCGGTAGGTACTCAGTTCGATGTAGCTTATAAAGACTGGAAGAGGTCGGCATCATTTTCCGATGTTGTGCTCATCGATTGGGGATCTGAATGTTTTTTTTTTTCTTTTTTCTTTTTTTTTTTCAAGGCTGAGCGAGATGTTCACAGGGATGAAATGTAGATTAAAAGAAAGAAAAAAAAAAAATGGGGAAAGGTTCAGTTGCCAAAGTTGCCGACTTGTTGAATCCTGCCTGGGACCTTTTTGAGAACCTTTATGGCTACGGGCGGTGCGGGGAAGGGCCCTGGGGAATGAGCGGGTCCGAGACATGCCGCCGCTGTGACGCGCCTACCGCGCTAACGCAGCCCTGAATTGCCCTGAGCTCTAGTGCGGTTCCACTGCAGCATACTGTAAACGCTAACCTTTTCAGCCGCAACCGATTGAGTGCCGCTATATCAGGGGACAGACAGCACCTAAGGTTGGTCAGAGCTCCACGTCATCTCATTCCCGTCCCGCTCTCCAGTCCCAAATCCGGCATCGCCAAACTTCCACCTCCAGCACCTCATCGCAATACACAATACTCGGGCCTAGACCGACCCAGCCATTACGCTACAGATTCATACCCGTCATTGCAACCTCAGGCTTTCACGCACTGCGAGAGTTATCGATCCATCACCGACCCCCCAGCCGGCTACGCACGTATACACCACCCCGCCACTCGCAGCACCCTCTCGAACTTTGGACCAGTGCCAGCCAGAACACTCCAACATGTCAACAATAGCCACCCCGCGCGACACAGGGACGCCCCTCGCGCGGCGCGTCAACTCCTCTCAAGCCTTTAACAACTCCAATACAACACCCACCTCCTCCACGCGCCCAAGCCTTGACGTGCCTCGATCCGCCTCGAGCTCGCCCAACCCCTCCGCCGCCCCCGTCGCCGCCGCCGCCGGCAAACGTGCCAACCGCGCCGCCCTTCGCGAGTACTACAACCTCAAAAAATCCCAAGCGGCCTCTGGCACGGGGACCTCGACCCCGATCCTCGAAGTAACCTCCACCCCACCATCGCCCGACCCGTCCAACAATGGCTTTCAGCAATCCCTCTCCTCATTCGACTCCATCCCCGCCTCGCCCCTTCTCGACTCCCCCGACTTTTCGGCGCAACCGTACCTCGCAGAGCTCCTGCAGTCGTCGACACTAGCCGAACTCCTCAAGACGTACGCCCGCATCCTGTCCGAGATCCGCGCTTTAGATGCCGAGAAGAAGGCGCTCGTGTACGATAACTACTCGAAGCTCATCAGCGCGACCGAAACCATACGCAAGATGCGCACCAGCATGTTTGATTCGAACGCGCTGACGGGGGATAAGCTGGACCCCATGGCTAGCACCCTGGATGCTGTGTTGGGAAAGGTGTATGAGCTTGCGAGTGGAATTAGAGGGGAGCTTAGGCAGCGGTTGTCGGAGAGTCATGGTGGGGATGAAGATGCTGCCGTGAGACGCAGAGAAACGGAGCAAGAGCAGGATAGGGATCTGGATGGCATTGAGGACGAGGAGGAGCGGAGGAAAAGGAAGGAGAGGCGGGATAGGACGAGAGAGTTGGCGAGGGAAGTAGTAAAGGTTCCTGAACGGTTAAGGGCATTGATGAAGGAAGGAAAGAAGGAGGCGGCGGCGAGGGAATGGGAGATGCCGAGGCGGTTGTTGGAGCGGTGGAAAGAGAAGGGCGTGGGAGGAGAGGATGTGGGGAGGTTGTTGGAGGAGGGCGATACGATAGTCAAAGGGGAGAAGGGGAGTACCCCTAGTACGTCAACACAGGGGGTTGAGGTGTAACAAAGGGTTGATGTTATGTTCTTCACTTTTTTTTTATTGAAGCTTGGGTCGATCTGGCGAGGCTTACGTTAATACGGGTCCTTGTATAGTAGAATACCAGATGAAGAGAGTACTGGGCTTTCGGAAAACGGCAAAGAGTTATTAAGAGACGGAACATCACAGGGGCATGCTTGACTCAAGTGAACTGTACCATCGCTGTGCTGATCATTCAAATATCGGCATGCCTCAATAAAACCCCGGACCAGAGCTCCAAGTTCCATTTCCAAACCATGTCCCAGCCCCCGAGTAATCCAGACTCCTACCATCCTCGCCCAAGAAAGCAAACCGGAAATACTCCGGCGTCATCACCACTCTTGGATCTCTCTCCCACCTAAACACCTGATCCTCCAGCGCTTCCTCCGCAAAAAAACTTCTATGCCTCTCCACATCATTAACCATAACACTCAACCCCCACAATCTCTCCGCCTCTTCCCTTCCCTTTTCGTGTATCTGGGGTACCAACGTCTCTATCGTCTCATTAATCCCCTTCCACTTAAAAGCGATACTCCAGAGCTCCGGCGTTTCAACCAGAGCTTCACTAAGATAAACCAACGGCTGCCCATCCACCAAGGGCACGAAGCTTGACCCCAACAATCCATCATCCCCCCTCAACGCCTCCGCCGTCTGAATCACCGAGTCAAACCCCCACCGCGCAATCCCATTGATGAACAACCCCAAAAGTAACCCCTGATACGCCAGCGCCGGACGCGTCTGGATACTCGTCAGCGGTAGTAGTAGTAGGGCAAGGACGTAGTGATGGATTCGCAGCTCCAGCGCTCCTAACCCCGTCACGGAAATTACCGCGCCGACAGCGATGCCGGCCAGCAACACACCGTAGAGGGCGAGGTAAGGAGGAACCCTGCCCTCAAGCCAGAAAGAGTAGGCCTGGTAGGCGATAGTCACGCACAAAACGGCCACGATCGCGACGAGAGCTGCCACCGCGCCCGGTTGGTGGGAAAGGTCGTGCGCGCTTAGACGGGAGAGGGGAATCCAGGACTCGAGGGTGAAGTTGGAGAGGGCGCCTATCCATAGGCTGCCAAGCCAGAGGACTGTTTTTTCGAGGTTTGCTGAAGGGGGGATAGCGCGGAGGTTTGTGGAGCGCGAACAGGTCCAAAACAAAACGGCGGAAGTGAAGGTTGCGGGAAGCAAGCGCTCGAATAAAATTGATATTAGTTGGGGGAGGATGGTGTTGGAGGGGCCGGAGACATTGGGCGGGTCGGAGATGAGGCCGACGTGGGCGAAGACAGCGATGAAGCTGGTGAACCAGAGGGTTGTGGCGGAGGTGGTTAGGAGGGATACCAGAAAGGTGAGGAGGATGGTTGGGGCTAGGGAGCGGGCTGTTTTCATTTCCATTTGGGGACATTTTCCCGGGCCAGTTAAGGCCGGATGGATGGTGAAGCCCATGGGAAAGTACGAGTCGAATCCTAGACTCGAGATGCCTTCGCCTCCTTCTCCGCCGAAGAAGGAGTAGTATTCTCCCACTAGCTTGACCACGCCGCACCCGCCTTTCGAATCGGAGATGACACCGGCGTGCATCGCTGCTTGGCAAATGAAGGAGTCACCTCTGTATACCCTCGTCTCCGTCCCCATCTCCGTCGTCTCCGTGCCGGCAGCAGTTACATCACCAACAACAGAACCATCCCCATTATCCCCACCACCGATTACCCAAGGCTTATAAACCACCTCCTGCCCCCCAACCCACCTCGGATTCAGCACCTGAACCTGTCTGCAATCCGCCGGGCAACGAAACGCAAAGCTGACGTTCCCAAAGGGCTTGCACCGCTCGCCGTCGACGCCGCACTCGTTGCCTGGTCCCCAAAAGGTTGAGACGCAGTCTAGGTGTCTGACTACCTCTCCTCCCCCCTCTCCGTCCGAGTAGAGGAGAGTACCCTTGGACTGAACCAGGGAAACAGAAAGAATGGTGAGCCAAAGGAGTATACCAATAGATAACAGAGCGGCACGCTGCCATGGATGGGAAAGGAGGCGTTCTAGTGTAAGGCGGGGAAGGGATTGGATTGACGGAAGCAGGAAAGGGGTGAGGGTTTGCCGGTGGGGATGGGAGGAGCCAGAGAGGAAGGTGAAGAGGCGGTAGATTGGGGAGAGTCGGGATTTGGAATTAGATTTTGAGTGTTTGGTCGTCACGATAGGTGGCGACGATGTGTCGGTGTTGTCGTCAAGTTCGAATTGCTCAATGTAGTCTTCTGTCGATAGCAGTTGGGCTTCTTCATCTTCTGATGGTTGGTGGTCGTCGTTGGCTTGGGTCCGAGAGGAGCTTGAGACAGGTAGGTGGGGATGATAGTCGTCATCGTCGTCTTTTTGTTGTACGCCGCTGTACTGGGCCTGGTGTGGGTGGTTCAGACCCATGTTGTACTCATATCAACGATGCTGTTCAAAGGCGTTCGTAAAGGCTAGGTATTGAGCAACGAGTTCTAACTGCTTGTCTGCAGTTTGATGGTGTTCTGAGGCAAGATATTCACCACAATGTGAATATCGAGTCGAAAGTGACTGCGTGAATTGATGACAAAATATACCAATGAAATGGGTATAACCGGAATCCTCGGAAACGAACGCAAAGATTGATGAGAAAAAGGTCATATCACAAGCACATTTTAACAAGTATAATGTGATTGCAACGCAGAAAATGTAAGACGGAGAAAAGAGATGGAGAGAGTTGAAGTTCGATTCAGCTGGGCTGAAAGATCAGTGACCCCAGTTCGACCAATGGCATGGCCGCTGGCTTCCAAGGCGAGCAAGGGTAGCATGGCTTAGAACGAGAATGGGCAAGATTTGCCATACCACCTCATGACTTGGACCCTTTGCGGTCATATCTCTGATACTGTATCGACTTGAACACTGCCTTGCCCACTTGGACGTTGATCCTCTCACAGCATCTTCATCCATACATAACCCATTCCCATCGGCTTCTGTTGCATTATACAAATTTGGTATTGAGTCGTGATATCAAACGTGGGATATAATTACAGGTACATGTCATACATCAGCTGCGGGTCCAAAAAGCCGTCCCGCAGCCTCAAATCCTCTCGCCTTTTCCTTGTTGGGTTTTCCGTTCCTCGTGACAGCATCTCATCTCTCCCCATTTATTGGGCATCGACGAAGCCCTTGAGGTTGTTGAGCCACCTGAGGTACTCCTTCTGCTCCTTCATGTCAAGGTAGTCGGGAACGAAGAGGGCAAGGGCCTGGTTGATGCCACGGTCCTCGAGGTAGCGCTCCATGAGGACCTGGAGATCCTCGTCGAGGGTACCAAAGGGAGGGCCAGGGTAGACAGCCTGGGCAGCGTGCTGGGTCTCGGCGCTGTCACCGTGGGCGAGCTTGGCGTCGTGGTAGTAGAACATGTTGTCGACAACAATGGAGCCGTCCTGGGCAACAGCGTCGATGTTGAGGGCACCCTTGCTGGGCTTCTCAATGACGATGTTGAGGCGGACGGGAGCGCCGCCGTCCTCACCCATGTCCTCCTCGTTCTGGGCACCCTCCTCGTCACCGAGAGCCGTGTCCTCGTCGAACATGCCAGGCTCGTAGTTCTGGAGGTCGGCGATGGAAAAGGAGATGGTGATCCTGGCGTACATTGGTCAGCGCATGGTTCTTGATCGAAGTCATGTTGGGGGTTCAACTTACTGCTCGTTGCCAAAGGTGCGCTTCAGGACAACGTCCTCCTTGCCGGGGGTATCGACAAGCTCAAAGGGGCCGTTCTCAAGGAAATCCTTGACGGTGGCGGGAACGGGCTCGTTGGAGGCAATGTCCTGCTCATAGCCAATCTCGGTGGAGAGCTTCTCGGAGAGCTCAGAGTCGATCTCGGTGGCGGCAGCGCGGAAGACGGTAGTAGAGAAAGTCTTCTGGGAGAGCTGAGTCCTGAGAACGTTGCTGGTAGCGCGGACGGTGGCGCGGCCGAGAGTGATGGGAGAAGCAGAGACAGCGCGGAGAGCACGGGGCGCAGCGGTGCGCGCGACAGCACGAAGAGACATCATCTTGACGGATTTGGTGGGGGGATTTGTTGACTGTGAATTGGATGTTCGGGTCCGATCGTGTTGTTGCGCGTTGGGACAGAGGAATGTTGTCGAGGACGGAAGCTGGGGTAAGTGAGTGGACGAAGACTGGAGCGAGACGAAAAGATGGGTAACGTGAGTGATGGAGAAATTCGATGACAATCCACGATGGATGGTTTTGATGGATCCGCTCACTGAAAGCTCCACGAACCTGTGCCGAGAGCAGCTGGTCTCCAGAAATCTTCAAAAGCTCTGCAGTCGCTGGCGCAAAATATTCCGAGCACAGACCATCCAATGGGACCCCGGCTGCGTCGATAAGAGGTAAGAACCCCATCGATAAAGCGTAGCGCCAACCGATAAGCTCCCACTTAGCGGAAGTTCCCCCACAATGACGCCTTGGACCCACTAAAACTTTGTCAGTCCCTCTTCACTGTTCAGGTAGGTTGCTCTGCTTCCCGCGTACCGACGGGCAACCTCCAGCTCTTCTGCTCTCACATCGTCGGTCCAGAGGATAATCGTTCATCAATAGCCTATTTCAGTTGACTCTATACGGAACTGATGGTCGGCTTTTTACGATTCGTTTGCTCAAAGCCATGCCACTTAACACCTTTATAAGTTCTAGCCATTCAAGCTACAAGTAAAGAGTCCTGCATTCTATTCCAGGGTCCAGACTTGGATCCACACTCACAACCTAACATGGCTGCCAGGAACCGAGTGCGTTGAATGCCTCGGATCGATACGACACACGACATGGCCAATGCCAGCGATACACACCCGAACAATCTGATCTATATGAAGCGCCCATCATACCTCCCCAAGTCTGCCCTCATCTTCCCCATCCTCCTCAACCTCCTTTCCAGATCCTGTTGTTGTCCCTGTTGCTGTTGCTCTGATACCGGTAATGCTGCCGGTCCAGGCACGTACTCCCTCCCTTGTCCTTGCAACATCATCAATGTCGTCGTCGTCGTCTGTCCTGATACCGAGATCCGTCTCTGCTGCTGCCCCCTGTCATAGACACCACCACTGCCACCACTCCCTCCAACTCCATGGTGATAGTTGTTATTGTTGTTGTATCCATACATGGAGTTCACACCTTGCGGTCCAATGGGTACACTAACACTAACACTGCTCCCCCTCCTCCTTGGTCCTCCGCCTGTGCTGCCACTCGAGGTGCTACTCCCACTGCCACTACTGCTTCGAGACCGGGATGCCGGGAGGGTTGCTTCGTCCTGGCATTGCCAGCACTTGTACCCCGTCTGATCGCGTTGGCCGGAAACCCCAGATAGGCAGGAGCCAAAGATGCCGCTGCCGCTGTTCTTGGCTACGGAACAGAGTTGTTCTGAAATGAGGACTGTGTCCTCGCTGCTGCACCGGCGGCACACGCGGATGTGGGTCTTGTAGGTGCACATTTGCTTCGTCTCTGGTTTTGGGTGCCGTAGTGTGTGCTCGGTCAAGTCAACCGAGATGATGATGGTCGAGAAGATGTGTGAGATTGCGGATACTAATCAACGGTTAACTGGATGATATGAGATAGGTATGACTGGGGAAGAGCCGGTACTCACGTTGAGATTGTTAACAACAAGCTTGTAGTCTAGCTTGGAAGCCCAAGTGGAATGGTTCTTGCTCGTTTTTCGAACCAACCTACACACATATACCGGTCCGAAACCCGTCCTTGGTACAATTGACACTCGAAAGCACAGTTGGCTGAGACAAAACCAGCGTCTAATTTTCTCCAGTGCAACAGATATGTTTAATGCGAGTGCCTCGCTGATAGGTGATATAGGTCATAGACAACACCAACCGAAGTGCATGAAAGCATCAAAGATGGGAAGGGAATATAATAAAGAATGATTTAGTCTGTTTCAGACTCCAAGGCTCACCCATAAAGGCTTGCCAGAGAAATAGGGGGCTGACGTACTACTTATCATTTTGGGGGAACTGCCTGGAGTTTGCCTGCGTCGGTTGTGGCTTGTCAGTTACTTTCAACGAACTCGGAGGAGAACTGCACTGCGCTGGACTCGACTCAAAGTCGGAACATGGCATGGATGGATAGATGGATGCAATGGATAAACTCAACGTCAGTCCAGTCCAGGGTTTGTTTCCCGTGTGTGTGTCTCGCGCGTGTCGTTCGTCCGTCCATCCGTCCTGTTGTGCCCATTGTGACTTGTGCATGGCCTTTGGAGTGGTAGGTAGCAATGCAGTGCAGCTCCGGCAAGCCGTATATCCTGAGTTTCACGTTTGGCAAGCAAGTTAAATGGTTCTCCAATCGCATGACAATTTCTTCATCATTAGAGGAGCGAAAGGCTTTGGGAAGGGGGAATGGATATCAGCATGTGGCATCGTGTCAAAGTGGCTGTATGGCGCAGACGGGAAAGGATCTGTAGGGTCTGGATTGAACATCAGTCGTGAGCGTTTAACATTGGATAGAACCGCAGACCCTTTTGGGTCTTGTGTCACCCTCACCTTCGATGAATCCCACAGCTTCCAAGGCCATGATTGTTTGCAGGTACACAAAGACTCGAAAGCATCAACCTAATCTTCCCTTGCCAAGAAAAAGAAAAGGTCTTGTCTATTTACCGGCCAGTGAAAAAAAGACAAAAGGAAAAACACCAAGAAACCAAAACGAACGCTCGTCACACAATCAAGTATGCGTCCCCGACTATTTTGTACCAGTGTCCACTGCACATGTCTGTCTCATGCAGCAAGCCTCGAACTGCCCCGAGCAAAAAATACTCTCCAGATTTCAGTGTGTAAATCCTTCGTTACGTTGCCTGACATTCTTCACTCAGTCGCGCTTACAAAAAGGGTTCAGGTTACACACAGGAGGATCGGGCCGGGAAAACAGACCTCACAAGGAAGAAATCCCTGCTGCCTACCTGCCGTTTTCTCGGCAGGGCAAGACAGCTGTGAAAAACATGACATGGTACGGCATGACCATAGCATGGCAGAGTAGGGTAGGGTAGGGCAGGGTACATGTACTCGTTGTTCGTTCGTTCGTTCGTTCGAACAAAGTTCCAAATATCTCAACTTATACAAAACCGCCATCTGTTTTGGGAGCGGGTTGCAGAAGTGTAGGCCTGGTACTTTCATTAGAGCTTTGTTACCTCTTCTTTCCCCCTCATATAATTTATCTACGCGGTATTTCCATCGACTGGCTCGATCCTCCCGTTCCTTGTGGACTACTACATGTGCAGGTAGCTAGCCGGGGAATGGAAGAAAAAAGACTGAGGGATGGGGCGAGGAAAAGGAGGGGAAGCACGAACCCCAAGCGCACAGGTAACCCGAACCACCAAGGTACACCAATAGCTAGCTAGGTGAATCAAGTTCATGGGAAGGTGAATGGACAGAAGTTGTGTTAGGTTGTATGTCTGCATATAGATAGAAAGAAGAGGGGGACAAGATGAGGGGAAATGTCAACGACAGATTCGGGTAGTGGTGACAAAAGATGGACGGATAGATGGAGAGACGACTAACTGGTCGGCAAAGGGGAACAACACGCACACATGAGGCGGGTTCTCTAGAATAGTACGTTGACAGGTAGACTGACCAGAAAAAAAAACAAAGAAGATACCCAAAAACTTTTGATATTGAAAGTAAACTTGAAACCACAGCCAAGTATCAAATCTCGACCCTCATTCCATCATATCCCTCCCTAAAGGAAAGCAGAACATCAAAGCCGCTCCGAGTCCAGCAAAGTTCCCAGGAGCACCTAGCCAGAACTCTCCGAACTCCGGAGAGACCGGCCCCGAACCCGGTCCATGGCAACTTGCAGAACATATGGAATACCGGTAAAGCCAGAGGGCAGCGAAGGACAGCCAAAGGACAGTCAAGGAGGGGGGAAAAGGTCAAACCGCCCACGGCTACCTGCTTTTCAGGTACATATCGGTGAGTCTGACTGTTTCCGCCCGCAACAACTTGGGTGTGGAGGGGGGGAGTTGAGGAATCAGGGGAAAATAGGGTCTACCTTGGCGTTTTCGGCTGCGTTATGCCCACGAGGAGCACGTAAGTTGTACAACATCAACTGGCAGCTTCTCCCGAGCGAAGGTGTTGAATGAAGAAGCATTAGAACAACTCGGGTTGCTGTCGATCACCTTGCATATGATTAAAAATAAAATCCGGGATAAGGAGGCAAGTAATCGTCGAATCGGGCGTTGCCGTTGTGGGAGTGTAAAACATCATTTTGTGTAAAGTGGGCTTTTTTTGTCCTTCTTTCTATATGCAGGACTCATGACGGGTTCCAGAAGCAATGCATCTCTTCAATTTCCACACTTCTACCTCTTCTCTCTTTTTGTTACCGGTATGTCTCTCACACGTGGTCTTATGGTAGGAGACCTGCAGCCCTGTAAGCAAGCCTTTCCAGGGCACAGCCGTCGGCTGCTCTGAAACGCGTTTTCTTTTCTCTCTCCCGGTTCCCATGAACCCTCTTCTCTATCCTTAACTGGTGAACTGTCCGAGCTGACGGGGAATCTGAACTGGCCGGCTGGGACAGGCTGTCGGTAACTGGACCCAGCCATGAAATGGCGTCCTTAACACGCTGCCCTCACTCCACCCACCTCCTTCTCGAATCTTCTCCCTTCAGCCCTCTTTCATTCGGTTCGGGCCCGAGAGCGGTTTGGTGCCTGGTGTCTGGTGCTTGGACGAGGTGGAACTGCAATTTGTATGCACAGCGATAATCGAACCCGGGGGTCACGGCAGCAGCCGCTTTTGTTAAGGTGTAGTAAGCAAGCAAGGTACGGGTTGCGGGACCAGGGTCAGGTAGGAAGGACAAAGTGGCTTGTGACAGATTGATTGATGAGGCTCGTGAGGGATGAATAAATGTCTGTCTTGCCCGCCTTTCTGTATCATTAGTGGGCACGGCCAAAACTTAAGGCTGCAGATTGGCGGTTTGGCAAAGGTGAAGCGCTGTCTTATTTAACAGCACGACGCATGGCATCTAACCAGGGTGACAAGCAACGGAGGAGACGGGAGGAGTAGCCGGCTGGCGTTCAACAGGGGCTGGGGTTGGAACTGAAGGGCTGGAAAGGGGTATCATTAATGTTTGTTGAGGCCCAGCTGCCTCGCTGATCCTGGGTATCTCCGTGTTTAGGTCGGGAAAAAAAGAAGGGGCGATGTGCTCTCAGTTGGTCTGCGGAGGGAAGCTGGCAGGCGCGGATCTTCCTGAGGACTGAATTTTGACCCATGTGAGGTTGGTCAGGAAGGCCCAGTTGCCATCCCACCGATCCAACATCTCGGTGGTCTTTTCATTGGTAAGGTCGGGAAGGTCTGTAAATTGGTCAGCGACAAGCTGTCCCACGAAGAGAAACAATGGGGAAAGGACTTACAGAAACCATCACGCTCTTCCTTGTGAAGCGCCTCCATCTTCATCCTCAAAAGATCCTCCTTGGCGCTGGGCGGCCTGCCCTGACGACGAGCCTTTTTGATTTCGTGATACTCCTCATCATGTTGATGGCAGAATCTGGGTGGATGGTCAGAGATGGTCCCACCAATATTGGCACAGTCGCAGTCCACACTTACTCAGCAATCTTCTTTTGGATGGCGGAGAGCTCGAGCGGCTTGTTCTCATTTTCACGAGTAGCCTCTTGGAAAAAGGCGATACGAGTGATCAGAGGCTGGTCCCTCTTGCGCCTGGCCTCGGTCATCTTCTCGAGACGATCATCGCGAACCTGGGCCTTGTGAAGACGGCGGGAATCACGACTCTTGGCGTGGAGGGCTTCAATGGCACCGCCTCTCTTCTTCGCAATGGCCTTGCGTGCTTTTTCGAGAGTCTTGGGCATGATGAAGAGTAGGTATAGATCAGTGATTTTGGGAGATGAATGATGGTTGGTTGTACTTGTCGTGTTGGTTGGTGAAGACCAAGGTACGTATTTCAACAGGTGAATTGCACGTACGGGACTTGCCCTTTGGCGGTTGGGATGGAATTTTTCAATAAGCGGCCAGCGAACTGGGGACAGTGGGGTACTAAGACCTAGCCTACCGATAAGGTTTACTTGTACAGGTACCTAACGTTAGACGCTGTCAGGGCTGTCAACTGTTTAAGTGGTTGCAGCTCGGATGGGGTTTGATTGGAGAATAGCACTGCGTTCCATGTCTTGGCGACGAGCTCTGTGGTCGAGCTGTTAGTTCAACTAGGACCTCCAGTAGGTCAGGAGCTACCATTATAGTGTAACGAACCTACTTGGAGGTACCTCTACATACACGCGCAGTAGGAACCGTCTCTCTGATCTGGAAAGTGACATGTTTACACAGTGAAATACCCTGTTGACTTGCAAGTCTCGTCAAATGGTGTGTAGGATTGTTGCCATTCACACAGTAAAATTCCAGATTTTTGAGTGCTCAGAGGCACATGGGATACCATCAAGACATTACTGTACACTAAAGTGAGGGTAAATCCCTAGGTGGACGACGCCTCCCCACCTCATTGTTTTGTGCACAAACAGAGCCATTGCTTGGATGCCCCTGAATGCCCCGCATGGATCGGATGGATCAGCGATTGACAGGCATGTCGCCTGGCACAGTCTGGTCGCGGGGGCAACGACGCGGTACGCGCTGCCCTTCCATTTTCTGGAAACCTGCCACCCCAGGCGATTTTACGTCGTTTTACGGGGGCGGGAAGGCGTGGATCGGCTCCATTCTCCCATTCTTTGCACTGCCCTGGCAACTGGAACCTTGGGTTTTTTGGGGTCTGGTGGACTGCGGCAAAAGTGCCTGCCCGGCCATTCCACCACCAATTTTTGCAGTGCCTGCCCTTCACCGGCCGGCCCTAGAGGTAGAGGTCGGGTATCGCCTACCTATCGAGACGGGACCGCAGCAGCCCTTGTCAGTTGTCAGGCAGGCAGGTCGTCCCCCGCCCGAGATTTCCAGTGGCTTCACACTTCCATCTACCCTTGAGGGCAACTGGAACTTCACCTTTCCTCTTCCGTGGTGTGCAGCAACCCCCTCGAGCTCACCTTCCTCCCTCACCTCATAGGAAACGAGGTCGTTGCATTTCCGTCCTCCAAACTCGCCAATCCTCCAGTGGCTTGGTGAGAATTGCACGTCTTTCAACCATTCAATCATAGAGGTGGTATCGGGACGTCGCCAGGGCATCGCTCGCTTGGGCTGTCCATTACTCTCACTCCACAACAAAACAAAACAAAACAAAACAAAAACATCGACAAAACAGTGGGTTGGCACATCGTTTGCAACCACCCGCATCAACGCACAGCATACTACCACAGTACGGAATTATACACGCATCCTCGACTGCAGGAACCACGCCAATTCACACATACATAGCCTCCGCATCATCACCTATTTTATTCGGCACCCGATATCTCACCGCAGTTGCCACCACTCGACAGGGAACACAAGTTCCATGGCCTCGTCAGTCGTGTGAGCCTTTGTTCAACTTGTCGGTTGCTGCAACCTACCGCGCTTGTCAGGCGCCTGTGGCGCGTTTTCCGTCACTGGAGCAAAGATGGGCATCAACGGTCTTCTCCCCCTGCTAAAATCCATTCACCGCCCTGCCGAACTCAGGAAGTACGCGGGCGAAACTCTGGGCATCGACGGCTATGGATGGCTTCATCGAGGTGCTATCGCTTGCGCCATTGACTTGGCTCAAGGCAAGCCAACCCGCAAGTAGGTTCCAACCGAGGCTACCATGGACTGTCTGACCCCAATGCTAATTGTAACACCGTAAAAAAAAGATATGTTGACTATGCGATGCACCGCGTCAAAATGTTCAAGCATTTTGGGGTGACGCCCTATGTTGTCTTTGACGGCGACTACCTTCCAAGCAAGGCCAAGACGGAACTGGATCGCGAGAACAGACGAGAGGTGAGCAGGAAGACGGGCCTAGAACTCCTCAAGGCCGGCAAACCATCACAAGCCCACATCGAACTCCAAAAGGCCATCGACATCACACCAGAAATGGCCCGCCATCTGATCGACGAGCTGAAAAAGGCCAATGTTCCCTATGTCGTCGCGCCGTACGAAGCAGATGCACAGTTGATCTACCTCGAGCGTCGGGGCATCATCAGCGGTATTGTCTCGGAGGATTCTGATTTGTTGGTTTTTGGAGCCAAGCGCCTCTTGACCAAGATGGATCAGTACGGACAATGTATCGAAATCAACCGCAGCCAGTTTTGTGCCGTCCGTGAGATCTCCTTGACGGGATGGTCGGATGCCGAGTTCCGCCAGATGGCCATCTTCAGCGGCTGCGACTACCTCGATAGCCTTCCCAGCATGGGTCTCAGGACAGCCTACCGCATGATTCGAAAGCTCAAGACGCCTGAGCGCATTGTCAAGAAGCTCCAGTTCGACGGCAAAATCCGAGTCCCCGACGACTATCTCGCACGGTTCAAGCAGGCTGAACTGACTTTCATCTACCAACGCGTGTTTTGCCCAGAGAAGCAAGCGGTGGTGTGCTTGACAGAACCCGACGAGTCGATCAACGTTGACGATATGCCGTACATTGGCGCACCCATAGATGCCAAGCTGGCTCGCGCCATCGCTGTTGGCGATGTCAACCCGATCACCAAGGAGCCAATCATTGTCACAGCAACCTCTCCCAGCAAGAGAAGGATCAGCCAGGTCTTCACTTCCGCTTTCGGCGAAGGCAAGAAAATGGGGAAGCCTATCGACCAATATTTCAAGGACCGCCGGATTCCTCTCGGAGAGATGGACCCCAATTGTTTTAACGTTGAGCCTGATAATGGTGAACAGGAGGCAACCGCCGAACCTCGCCCTATCGTGTTTCCATTGCCGAGGCCTTATGTGGAGGATGTGGGAACATCGGCAGCCCCTGCTCGGCGCTACACGGCTCAAAACAGCCGGCGCAAGAGTGAGCCCATTTCGAAGCTTCTGGCTTCATTTGACGACACATCCAGCATCACATCGCGACGACAGACAACAGGAGCAGCATTCGAGGTATTCACGGACACTGACCCTGCGATCTCCACAAGACCGCCAAAGAAAGCGCGACTGTGTGAAGACGCAGTGTCGGAAGATGCCGTCACTGCTAACCCCGAAAAGAGTAAGTTCTTCCCTCAGACCAAGGCGAAGAAGGCGGCAGCCAGGAAGTCGGAGTCTTTCATCATGTCGGATGACTCTATCGAGGAAGCTTTTCGGAGCGTTCCGGATGCTGTATGGAGTTCGTCAAAGGCTCGTCGTCGGAGCGGAAAGGTTCAGTTTGTCGAGGAGTCACCGTCCTCTGAACCAGTGTCTCAGGAGAAGGAACAGGAAGATTTGGAAGAGCCATCTCTTCCTGTGATGCCAAGGAGTACCACCATTGATGCCAGCAGCGATGCCGAGGACGAAGTGGAAGTTCCTGGCTCATCATCGCAAGAGGCCATCACCAAGAAAAGTGTGAAATCCCAGACGCCGCTGGGCCCTCAGCTCCGGCAATTCTCGTATCAACCAGGTAAACCCGGTGCTCGCCTTGTCAATGGTCTGCCTACACCTTCCTCAACCCAAGAGAGATCTGCTGCGGTGCGTAGATCATCGTTGAATCCAATCTCGCCCATGTTGACTCCGCTGCAACGCATGGGAGCCCGGGCACTGAAGCAAGTTACACCCCGCGCCACGCCTCCTAGCAGCGCCCGCTCACGTAAATCAAGCAAGCCGAGCGAAGCTCTCGGCTCCGTCCAGGTGGATCCCGCCGCCATTCCGTTGCCGTTGGCCGACTTTGCTGAAGTTAGAGCCCTGAACATGTCGCTCCAGGGGAGCGAGGATCAGATCATTCCTGAGAGTGATGGAGAAACCGAATTGGGCACGACAGCCACTCGTCCGAGACTCAACTTAGCGCAGTACCTGTATTCGTGAGCCCCCAATTTGTGCTCTCGGGAGTGTATTAGGAGAAGCCAGATATGTGGTGTGCGTAGCACTCGGCGTACCGGTAAGGAAGAAACCCCGCCTGGAAAATGGGTGGGCTTGAATTGCACTATGGTCTGTTGTATGGAAACGTGGAAAGATAATGGGCCAGGAGTTTTGTCAGGCAAAGAAAGGAATCATGGAAAGAGCAGGTTGAAGTTCATGAGGAGAACTTCCATTACCTGTTATGCGATAACATTGCCCTGATGGGCCATTCATTGATGGCCTTTGTCAAGAAGGAAGCTTTATCACTTTAGTAGGAAATAAACAAACAATGGTAACCATGACGAAGGAACGCTGTTGCACCTGTCAAGACTCTGTCAGGAGACATGTCACCATCAGATCCAAACATGAATTCTATAGGTAGAGGCATATACAGTAGGTAGACGGGAGCGTGCTAGGAATGGCAAGTATCCCTCTAACCGCGATAAGATCGATGAGAGGTGCCAGGGCAGTTCACCGCCTTTGGCAGAATGCCAGAACCCCAAGCGTGAAAGTGTGGGGCAAGGTGCTGGGGGGCTCCACACTGCTGGGAACAATCCACTAAAATTTCACTGTAATCCACTGGCGAACAAAAATTCATCGAGACAGGAAACAGTCGTTCGACCACAGCCGACCCGCCCTCCACTGTCTCAATTTTTCCATCTGGGTTTCGTTTCGATACCTCGACATACTACCTCGACCATTATTCCGCCCGCTCGACATCACTCACAACCCCATCACAGCGAAATCCCGGGTTCGACTTTTTTGTCGCCTCAATCACCTAGGTCTCTCTATTTTAGCGACTGGCAATCATCCAGGTCGACTCGTACAAGCGAAATCCAGCGTGTGCAAAGATGGCGGATACCGATTTGCAGGTAAGCAGACCGGCGCTGGAATGCACACCACCGATACGGTGATACCCATGGCTGGTAGTTGTGGCCAT